AACACATCAGCTCTCTTGATTTCATGGACATAATCCCGAGGACATATCCATTTTCGTTACCTTCTTACTCGCCTTTCCTTATCCTTACTCATGCCTTCTTATAACTTTGTCGCCCTACCATACTTTAGATTGCGACCTACACATATCCATTTATGCTACTTGCAACCTTCCTTCAATTTGTTTGCACCATAGATTTAGACAATGTCGCTATCCTTCATGGATACTAAATCCCCACGCTTCTAGTTTTGTATCCGCAGTATGTACTACTCACAACCTTCTGCATTTGAGTATCTCATACATTGTTCACCTTTACCTTACTTACCTTCAAATCTCACATCGTATCTTCTATCTCTTTTATGACCTTCCTTCAACATATGTATAATTCATGTCCATAACTTGAAGCTCTATTATAATACTTGCACCTCTGGTGCATACATAATTCGGTAGGAGCTTCATACTGACTTCTCATGAGGCTGGAATTCTTCTAACTGGCTTTATCATAGGGCCGTTATAGAATATGATTATTGTACTATCTATCTTGTACCTCTGATATTAAGGGTGATTCTATAATGTTCTCAAACATGATTCTATAATTTTCTGGGTTCAATAATCAGACTCCTGATTTACTTAGTTGATGTAACTCTTTATTTCATTCTTCCTTCTGATCAGCCATTATGTAGGCTTAAGCTATATTTCGATCTGCGACTCATGGAATTAGTTATTGCCTTAGCCTTTCATGGATGCTATGGAATATTCATGATACAATCTTCTAATGATTCAATCCTTTTTCTATGACCTGGACTCAATTTTTTCTTTTAACTTATACCGGAGTCTTCTACCGCTGTATGATTGTCAACATATGTGTTGCATCAATATTACTCTGAAATCTTAAGTGCGTTCATAACATAACTAACTCTGGATTATTGATCGACTAATTCTTTTCGTTCTTTCTCAACTTTCCTTAAACGTAAGAAATTACTTTTCTTGGTCTTACTGGTCTTCCTTCCCCCTTGTTGCGTGCATATTAGCTTACCTTAGTGCCCAAATATATTGGAATTCCATATAACTCATATGATCTTGAATATCACTTCTGATTTTACTCCCAGTTCATTAGCCACGGTCGGTGCCACTTTCTTATGGAGTGCATGCAATGTTGTTGTGAGACTGTTATTATAAGACCATTCCCTTTTTGGGTCACTGAGCTTAGGTCGAATCCTTCTTCCTTACTTCCTCAGCTAGTTTTTCATTGTAGTACTTAGGGAGGACCCTCTTACTCTTGTAAAGATGTGAGCTTATTATGGACCTTTTGGTGTCCTTACTTGCCTATAATTATCGGTAGTTACTTACCTCCATGCCCTTGTGCTTGTAGGGTTGCTTCTGAACTGATATTTTGATCGTCTTCCCAGTGAAACTCTCTTTTATTCCCGTAACATTCATACGGTACCTTTAACTACCCCGACTCTTATCCGAATATATCTCAAGTATTACAATGAGATTACTGTGAGGCTAAATTCACTATATTGGGTTTTACTATATTTATCTTGCACGATATGTTGATTCGTCTGTAACATACTGTCTAGACATAACTAGCCTCTTCCTAAATCAACTACTAACTACCCATTGGCCCATTCTCATATCAATATTCCGCATAATCTTTCTTGGGTTATTTCCTTTATCTAACTTACCTCTCGCACTAGCTCCTTATTTATCAATAACATTCCGGGCAGGAACCCTTACTTCCTTTCCTTGATGTCATGCTTGCATTATATTCTAGAATCGTAGCATATCTGTAGTATTTGGATAAGTGCAATCTCATTCTTTTTTCATTTTTATCGCATTATTCCTTTACCATTCTAGTCACTAGAACCACTTAATTATGACTTAATGCCATATTACTCCATATTCCCCCCTCTAGGGGAGTACTAAGAGTTGGAGCCACGAGGATCTACCTGTAAATGGTTTACCTCTTCATCTTTGGCATCTTTTCACATCATCGATGACCCTTATTCGCCTTGCAGTAGTCCTTCTGTACCAAGGATAAAAAAATTCCTTACTCGTGAGGGTGACACTTAGTATAACTGGCACATACAGTCTCTTAAGCTTAACTTTGCTCGCATTGCTTATTTTAGCTAAGCGTCTTCCTGAATGACCATTCTCTGAATTTCTCATGAATCTTCTTTTGTTGTCCATTCTATTATCGCCGGAATGACACTAAAATTCTTATGATACTAACTGTTATCAAACCACTAAGTCTCTAATTCATCTTTAGTTTATCATGTTCACCAGTCCATGTTGGTTTCTATTACTCTAGGGTCTAACTTTTCCTTTTGGTAATCACGTTAGAGTCATGAACTTTTTTCCAAAATGAGGATATGACTTTATGGCCTATACTCTTTTATTGCCGCAAGGCCTATCACCTCTCGTATTTTCCATCACTTGACTATAGACTCTGTAATACTGTTATTTTTTTTGATCTACCATTGTCATCCATGTATCACAACTTACTCATAATGCTTCATTAACTCTGTTCTTATTTCCTGCTAACATTTATGTCTATCACTTTATTCTGAAAACTTCAACAAGATATTCTTTTGCTTTTAGCTCCCCTTTGCTCCATCCATTGGTTCTTCGGGTTGCCTAACTTTATCTATCTACTAGGTACGGGGGCCATACTAAGATAATATTTATCCCTTATAGGCTTCCAGTGCCTATCTTTGTAGTACTCATATCTAGCTGTGCTATTTTAGAGTGCACCATCTAGGTGTCTCACAAGGAGTTCCATTACCACCTTTGCACTATCCTTCGGAAATGTCAACTAACACTAACAATCCATCCACTATTTTTGGTTACTCTAATCCCAACTGGATACTGATATCCCGTCCTTCTCTTAAGCCATATTTATAGAGCAAAATGCTAGTACGTGAGGTAAGTTAAGACAAAAAAATAACCCAAGAATGATTACGCAGAATATGGGTATAAGAATGGGCCAGCGAGTAGTTAGTGGTTGATTCAGGAAGAGGCTAGTCATGACTAGACAAGAGATTGCAGACAAATCAGCAGATCATGCAAGATAAATATGGTGAACCCTAACAGGGTGAATTCAGCCTCGCAGTAATATCATTATAATACTTGAGATATATTCAAATAGGAGTCGGTATAGTTAAAATATCGTAAGAATATTATGGGAATAAAAAAGAGTGCCACTGGGAAGACAGTCAAAATATCAGTTAACGAAATATTTTTAGAATTTGATTAATGGAGTTCATCTACTCGCTTGCTTAGTCGGGTTAACTCGATTGAGCATCGGTCGCGCTCCTTGATTTTGGGGCGTGACAAAGATATTCTTGTTTTTCTGTTGGGGAACATTGCTTTAATATTCCTCCATATCCAATATTTGAGGCATCAATTTCGACTACTTTTGCTCAATTTGGATGGGCAAGTGTGAGACAAGGAAGGTTATTGACCTTCTCTTTAATATGTTTGATTAATTCACTATGCTCATCAGTCCAAGCTTTTGGATTCTTCTTTAGTCTTTCATAAAGAATCGAGGTATCTTTGGCTAGATCCTTTATAAAAGGAGAAATGTCATTCAGGCTTCCTAAAAATCGTTGAAGCTGAGTCTTATCAGTTATAACATCGAGAAATTTAGAAGCAAATTCAATGCTTCTCTGAATAGGAATAATTTCCTTTTTTCAATTATGACCTAAAAATCTTACATTGAAAGATTTCTAGAAATAGCTCCTATCTTGAATTGGTGTTGACCGATGAATAGCCTGGGCCATTATAACGACCCAGCCGGTCGTTTCGAGAGTCATAGCCCTGGTCCCCATTTTTCTTCTTCATTTGTTTTCTTCAGCTGTATTATGTCTTACCGGGTCAGTTGGTTCGGGTCCGGAGTGGTTTTGGAGTAAATTGAGACACTTAGTCTCTTAGGAGAAAGTTTAAGATGGAAAAGTCGACCGGATACTGACTTATGTTAAACGATCTTGGATTTGAATTTTGATGGTTCTGTTAGCTCTATTAGGTGAATTTGGACTTGGGAGCGCATTCAGAATGTGATTTGGAGGCCCCTGGTAGAATTAGGTTTGAATTGGTGAAAGTTGAAATTTTGGCGATTTTTGTCGGTAGTGGAAATTTTGAAATCGGGGTCAAAATGGAATTCGGGAAGTTGGAATAGGTTCGTGGTGTCATTTTTGACTTGTGTGCAAAATCTTAGGTCATTCGGACGTGGTTTAGCGGGTTTTGGCATCGGTTGTGGAATTCGAAAGTTTAGAAGTTTTTAGGCTTGAATCCGAGTGTAATTTGGTGTGTTGATGTTGTTTGTGATTCAAAGATTTGACTAAGTTTGTATGGGGTTATATGACGTGTTGGTGTGAACACGTGATTTTTGCCTCACATGAATTTCTCCAAAAGAATTTCCAAAATTAGATCGTTTCTTTAATTATGTGTTATTTTAGGAATTAATGTGTGATTTTCCTGATTGTTTGCATATTTTGAGTGCATATTTAATTTATTAATGCATTAAAAATACAAAAAATATAGTATCGGCACGTAGGATTTGATGTTACATTTTTTTAGTTAATTTAGTAAATTGTTGTTTTACAAAAATGAAAATTTCAAAAAAATAAATAATGTATTTGTGCATTTCTAATGTTGGATTCAAATTTTTTGATTTTTTCTTTTAATTTGGTGTTTAATTATTTGTGATAGATATTATTTAAAGTTAATTAATATTTTTAAGCTAATTTAGGTCTTTAAAATTTAATTAGGATTTTAGTTTTAATTTTTAGAAGAAAAGAAAATGAAAATAACTAATAAAAGAGGGGGAAATCAAAATTGGGCTAATGTCCCATTTAAATCCCAAGCCCAAACACAAAACCATCCAAACCCATTCCAATCCGGCCCAAAACCCGCCCACGACCCGACCCAACACCCAAGACTCGCCCCATTTTCCCCACCTAAAATTCTGACCTAGGAAGAAAAGAGAGTTATAGCCGCAATACACATATACACGACCCACCCCCCTCCATTTTATCTTCTCCATCGGACGCCCAACAGCCCACCATGGCTGTTGCTTCTTCTTCTTCGTCAGTCACCGCTCAGCAACGCACACATACACCTATCGTCTTCTTCACATCACAACCGGATGACCCCAGCCCGCCACCAACAGACCCGTCGCAGACTTCAACAGTTCCCAGTCGTGTCTCTCTTCAACTTCCTCACTTGAGAGACCGTCCCTTTAAAAAAAATAAAAAAATATTCTGATTTTGTTCTTTCATTTTTCCGACTTTCGTCTCAAAATCAGAGGCGTTGTCTTTCGATTTTCGTTCCAAAATGGAGGTCAGTAGAGTTTGTATGTGGATTTGAAATTGACTGTGCCGATTCGAGGTCCGTTTTTGAATTTTGTGGTTGTTCTGGCGAGTTTCGAGATTGGGTCGTGGTTCCGTTCGAGGTTTCCGATGAAGCTCTGGTTCTACAGTTCGAGGACATCATTTCGTCAGTATTTTCAGGAATTTTTACAATTGTAAAGGTTCGATATTATTTCAGATTTTCATTAGTGCTTAAACTCTTTATTTACTCTTTGGTTGAAATTGCTTCACATGTTCCAATTAGTTATGTTCTTGATACATTCTGTTGCGGTTTATTTGTGTGAGTTTTGTTATTTTAAGGGATTATCTACCTAACCAACTAAAGAAGCTTCTAGTAGTGGTAGGATTAGATTTCACTATTGGAAAATTTAATTCAATAAGGGTTGAGTGGAATCAATTTTTAAAATGTTGAAAGGCCATTTTGTGAATCAAAGGGCATTCCCCATTGCCTATTTAAGGAATTCATAGATAGATAGGGAGGGACATAAAAAACAGACATAGATACACAAGAGAGTCAAAAAAGATATACAAGAATACTCTGAAAAAATACTGAAAAGATAGAGTTTGAAAGAGATAAGAAAATAGAGAGGAAACAAAATAGATGAATACCTTTGGAAAATTCTGAATTCATTACATTATTTGTTTTAAAACTACTCAAACTCTGCTCATTTAGGAGTATTCTGCTTTCATTTGGCGAAGGAAACTTATGAAATCATAGTTTCTTATTCTGGGACTTGAAATACATTGAAACCAACTCTTTCTGAAAAATAGTTCAAGCTTTGTGTTGGTTTTCTATTCCATTAAATTCTCTTCTGAATTCTTTAAGGTTTTTCAACTTCTGAATCCATTTTTGAATCATCTGGGATTAAAAATGGACTGAACTTGGGTTTGTAGAAGTTTGATTTGAAGTTGTGGTATTTACTATTTGATTAAAACTTTTTCTGGACTGCTGCATATCATTTTATGGTTTGAAAGTGGTTCTGCTAGTATTGTTTTGCTGCTGCTGTTTTGTTACTGAAGCCTCACTTCTTTTGCTTCCTTCTTACATTCAGGTACATACCTCGATCTTAAAATGTAAAGGTTGATTCATGTGATGTTTTGAGGAGATAATGAAGATATTTGTTTTGTTATATGTCTCTCTCTTTGTTCCCTTCCCCATTTGACTTGTTGAAAAGAATTTCTGGCTCAGCATGTTTAAAGTAAAGCTATGTTGCACACAATGAGATTCATGTCAAAAATGTAACTGGATTGTTATTCTATACTTGCTGGTTTCCATTTGTTTTACTTCAGTCTTTATTATTGTTAAAAGAGTTGGTTGATTTTGTATACCAAGATGTGCTTGACTATACAAATGTTTTGTCGATCACCAAATTAGAATAGTTGAAGTTGAGCATGAATTTGAAATCTCTGTATGCTCCAGTCATTGTGGGATAAGGCATGAGCTTACTTATTATTTTTCGATTGGTTAATGCTAATATTAGAAAAGAGCTATTGGTTGAAGATTAAGCATAAAAGGGCCGCTTGCTGTGGTAAGGACTCGATGTCGAGTCTGGGTCCTTAGTCTCGTCCTTACAGGGTTTGGGCTCATTGAGCTTTGGGGCCTAAAATCATTTACAAAAGTGAGTATTTGGGCTTGTCCTTGGAGCCCAGTAGTTCACCACTTGATCGCTGGATCATTAAGAGCAGAAGGCATATTAAACTAAAAATAAAATTTGATTGGTCCATTTGATTACATTTGTGAATTTGATTAAGACATTTGGGCCGTGTAAGATACAAAAAGCGAGTAGGCCATTACCGGATTTGTAGGGCAGTCTTTATTACACATGAGCCAAATTTTCTTGTTATTGCACACCTGAGTTCATTTGAGACTCGCACGCTGTTGGTATATAAACAAGTAAAAAGAGAGACAAGCATGAACGCATGGAATATCAAAGCAGGCAAGTTTTATCTCACTGGATTGGCTTTTGTTTGAGCTTAACTAGTTTGTAGAGGTTGGAATTAAGAATCGAAGGGGATAGTGAACTGTTTATGAATTAACTTAGGTTGAAACTTGTCAACATTACTGGACCTTGGTTGTTAATGTGTTTAGCCTTGATTATTAATGTGTTTAAAAGATAAAGGGGTTAAATATACTTCCTGAAATAGGCCCAACGTTGGAGGATCTCAAAATTAGTAACTATTTGATAGGTTGTAGATATCTCCAGTAATTTAGCAATGCCTTTGATTGCTGCATTTTGTACGTGCTTTAAATGTGAAGTTGGTTCCAGGTATGAAAAATTGTGATAGCAACACCTGGAACAACAAATTAATTTTGCAAATGAAAGGTTCCTTGGAGTTGAAATTGAGCAACACCTTTGTCTTGAGAATTTTTTTTTGAATAAGTTAAGGCGTGCCATGCCAAATAAAATCTCAATTTCATGGCCCTCATTTAATTAATCTTGTTTTGATCCTTAGAATTCGAGGCGTGCCACGTAGTTGAATTTTCGTGGCCCTCACAAAGTGGCAAACGCGTAGTTGCTTTAAGCGCATTATTTTAATAATATTACCTTCCTAAACTCGGGTGTGCATTTCATGTGACCCAAATCCAAATCTTAATAATGTTGAATAAAACCTGTTTCGGATTGCGGGTGCATTTCATGTGGCACGATCCAAAGACATGTTTTAGACGACGTTAAATCTACTTTAAAAATAAATAAAAGCGGTTTCAAAGTTAAAAAATGCACACGGGTTCAAAAATATTTTAAAATCAGATAATAGGCCAAATATGACAGTTGAGCGACCGTGCTAGAACCACGGAACTCGGGAATGCCTAACACCTTCTCCCGGGTTAACAGAATTCCTTACCCGAATTTCTATGTTCGCGGACTGTAAAACAGAGTCAATCTTTCCTCGATTCGGGATTTGAAACCGGTGACTTGGGACACCATAAAATTATCCCAAGTGGCGACTCTGAATTTTAATTGAAATAAATCCCGTTTCGATTGTCCTTTAATTGAAAAAACTCCCTTACACCCTTCGGGTATATAGTAAAAAAGAGGTGTGACAGTTGGTATGTTTGGTTGAGGTCCCGAGGGTCTAGGATGTGTTTTTGGTGGTTAACGGATCAAGTTTGAAGTTTGGAGAATTGCTAAAGTTGGAACTCAACTGTCATAATTGCACCTGCGGATGTCTCATCGTAGGTGCGAGCCCGCAGAAGCGAGCAAAGGATCACAGATGCGAGATTGGAGGATCTAGGCAGAACGCGCATGTGGGATTAAGTTCCCGCACCTGCGATGGTTGCAGAAGCGGAAGAGAGGGTGTAGGTGCGTGTGTTGGTCCACAGGTGCAATGTCAATTCTGCACCTGCGATGATCGCAGATGCGGTCTAGAGGCGCAGAAGCGGTCCAGGGATTTTAAGTGATTTTCCGCAGATGCGGAGATTTTTTTGCAAAAACGGCACCGCGGGTGCACATATTGAGCCACAGGTGCGGAAAGCCTGGGCAGAACCTATAAATAGAAGACTTCATGAATTTTTGCTTATTTCCACCATTTTGAACATGGACTTTGGAGTTTTTAGGAGGATTTTTAAGGGAATTCAAGGATATTTATTGCGGTAAGTTGCTTGAGCTCTATTATCATTAGCTATGGTGTTTTTTCATTGATTTCTCACCTAATTAGTAGGATTTATGAAGTGAAATAAGGGATTAGTGCTTGGGATTTTGAAGAGAATAATTTGGAGATTTGAGGGACCAAATGATGTTGGATTTTAATGAAATTGGTATGGTTAGAATCGTGAGTGAATGGAATTTATAGTTTTGGGACTTTTGTCGGATTTCAAGACGTGGTCCCGGGAGCGGGTTTGAGTCAATTTTGGGATTTGAGCCCAATTTAGTAGTTTTCTTGTGGAATTGGTTCCTTTGGCATATATTGATTATGTTGTGTTGCTTTTGGCTAGATTCGGGACGTTTGGAGGCTGATTCGAGAGGCAAAGGCATCGCGGAGTAGGATTATTCTGGGATTGAGGTAAGTAACGATTATAAATCTAGTCATTAGGCTATGAAACCCCGAACATCATGTTGTATGACTATTTTGGAGGTGACGCACATGCTAGGTGACAGGCGTGTAGGCGTGCACCGAGGGATTGTGACTTGGTCCGTCCTGTGAAACTGTAGAATCGATTAGCCTACTGTTTAATACCTGTCCCCTCTATTTTTATAGAAATTGACTGCATTTCATGTTAGAAATCCTATTTAGGCCTTGTGATATCACTATTGAGACCCGCGAGGACTTGCTGAATTAACTGCTATTTGTTATTTTGTTCTCAGTCATGATATTACTTGCGTATTTTACCTCCGTCCCCTCCTATTTATCATTGATACATGTTATTATCTCTGTTTGGGCTGAATTCTATGCTTTTTGAGAGCTCGAGGGACTGGTGAGGTTAGTGACTGAGATAGGGCCTGGGTGTCGAGCTATGAGCTATATGAGTGTATATGGATCGGGTTGCACGCGGCAACGAGCCTCAGGGCTATATATGTATATATTGGATCGGGTTGCACGCCGCAACGAGCCTTCGGGCTGATTATTTATATTGGATCAGGTTGCATGCCGCAACGAGCCTTATGGTTATTTATATATTGGGTCGGGCTGCACACCATAGCGATATAGCGCTTGGACTGAAGGAGCCCCTTCGGAGTCTGCACAGCCCTAGTGAGCGCAGATACCTATTGAGTATGATTATTGAGGGTTGAGAGCCGAGTGATTGAGTTGTTGAGATGAGTTGAGTGAATGTTGCCTTGAGAGGCTGTACTTACTTTCAGTTAATTGTTGCACTTAGTTGTTACTTGTCCTTGTTGTATAAATATCGGGTTTACTTGAGCACGAACTGATGTGACTTAAACTAATGAATTGGAAAGCATGATTGTTCTTATTTGAAAGATATTGAGATAATTGTATTTACATAGCTCGTTACTACTTCTCAGTTCCTTATTTATTTATGTTACTTACTGAGTTGGAAGTACTCATGTTAATCCTTGCACCTTGTGTGCAGATCCAGGTGAGACCGGTCACAAGTTTCGTTGAGCTCGTGCGTGGTTGACTGCTCGGAGATCTACGAGGTAGCTACCAGCGTCCGCAGACCTTGGCTCTCCTTCCATTGTTGTCTTTCTTTCTGTTTTTATGGCATTTGGCGGATTATTGTAATCTTTGATTCTACAGCGATTGTAGATGCTCATGACTTAGTGACACTCTGATGTCGGGCTATCTTTTCCGCATTATATTATTAGTTTAACTCTTCTTATGAAATCTCTATTATGAAAAGGTTTTGAACTATCTTCTTATAAATTATCAATGTATTTTGGAAATGTCGGCTTGCCTAGTACCATAATAGGCGTCATCATGACGAGTTAGGTATTTGGTTAGTACTATTCTACAAGTGGTGGAAGTTATATGATCCTTCTCTAGAAATCCTACCAGAACAATTTAAAGAATTATATGCAGAATTGATAGATATATCTCCTAACATCATCTTAATGAAAGACAACAATTAGGAGAATTCTGTGAACAATTCGCTAATTAATTTATCATCAAAATTGTTGAAAAAATAATTTCTAAATAGTTCCCATCTTGGTTTATTAAACTCTTCAGAAATTATTTTTCTTGCTGGAGATGTCGGACTAAAATCTATTTGGTTTTGATTCATTTCAAACCTGCTGGAAAATCTTTCGGATTCAGTTTGCTTAAGGTCGGGAATAGCATTGGCAATATTATCTCTGTTAATCCTAATAGTTTCGATCTTGTTATTATCTCTATTTAAATCTTCATCAGTAGATGAATCTTCTCTATCACTATTTTCTAGACTAGAATTATCCAAAGAAGAATTTAATAGAATCTTTATAAAGAATCCTTAATATTATCATCTATGTCAAAGTTCTTAATTTTATCCTTGACTCTACAATCTTTTGCATAATGACCTATTCTACCACACTTGTAGTAAGCATTAGGTCTATTTAATTTTATGAAATCATTAGCCTTATGTAATGAGATTAAGCTGAATCATTAAATTAAGAAACATAATCCTAATGAAAGACAACAATTAGGAGAATTCTGTAAGTAATTCTCCATAGACATCCCTAAGAATAAAATAGAGTATCACAGACATAAGATGCAAAAAAGAATCTTATGAAAAAAGATTTGAGCATGGGAAAAGGGTCATATACCATGGCAGAAGTCAAAAGAATTCTGAAAGGAAAGGCCCAGGCAAATGATAGGCCAACAACAATTCAAGATTTTAATGATGAGATTAATAATCTCAAAAAAGAGAATCTGTTGAACTCTTGTCTTATCGTTCAACAATTCAACAGTTCACATTCTGGAACTCTTGTCGTTCGAATCTATTGATTCTGGTAATTAAACTTCTGTTATTCTGTTCTCTCATAGATGGTGAGGACACATGCTACCAGTTAGGACAGACGGCCACCAGTACCACCTGTCACACCTCATTTTTACCTACACCCCGGAAGGGTGTATAAGGGAGTTTTTCCAATTAAAGGACAATCGAAACGGGATTTATTTTAAGAAATTCAGAGTCGCCACTTGGGAGATTTGTGGTATCCCAAGTCACCGGTTGAATCCCGAATCGAGGAAAAGATTGACTATGTATTACAGTCCGCGAACCAGAAATCTGAGTAAGGAATTCTCTTAACCCGGGAGAAGGTGTTAGGCATTCCCAAGTTCTGTGGTTCTAGCACGGTCGCTCAACTGTTATACTTGGCCTAAATTATTTGATTTTAACAATTATGAACCTATGTGAAAATTTTAGCTTTCAACCGCTTCTATTCAATTATTTTTAGAGAAAGTTGAACGTCGTTTAAAACGTGTCTTTGGATCGCGTCACATGAAATGCACCCGCAATCCTGAACACATTTTTATTCAACGTTTTTGGGATTTGATTTGGGTCACATGAAATGCGCACCTGAGTTTAAGAAGGTAAATTATTAAAAGCGCCTAAAGTGACTAATGTGTTATTATCTTTGGGGAGGGCTGTGAAATTCGCTAAACAGCCCATCTCGAATTCTAAGTATTTTATTATAGACATTTAAGAGGACCCCGCAATTTATGCATTTTGTTTAGCAGGGCTCGCATTATTTATTATTTAAAGGCCAACCTAAAGCAAACTACAATTTTCTACTTAGTTTGTCTCTAATAATAAAAGAAAAGGCCCTAATTAATTAGTATTGTTCAAGAACTAATATACTTACGTCCTTAACATTTATTCAAAATTTCAGTAATTCCCTTGGGCTTCAAGCTCAGCCCAGTAAGAATAAGACACAGTCAAAACTCAAGTTGGGCTTCGGACAGACTTCATTCAGGCCCAACCTTGACATTCAGGCTTATTAACTTGCAAATGATGGAGCTATTTCACATTTATTCAAATCGACACTTGACATACTCATATGCTCATCTCAATAAAATTCAAAACAGCTAGACGTCTAAACCGACTAGATTGGATTTATATTCTAAAATTCAGATTTTTTTCTTATCTATTTACCTACTAAGTGAACTTCTGGATATTACTAAAGGCAAAACAAAACTGGGAAACGTGAATTGAATTTTAACAAAAATAGTCATGAATATAAACCTCAGATGAGCAGGCTAAGCAACTTAATTACGAGATTTTACTTACACTAACACGAACAGGTTAATAGCCTAACTTCACACTTTATTCACATCTAATCATCATACAGCTGAACTAAACTACTTAATGAAATGCAGATGTTGATATGAGTAACTAATCTGCTGATCTTAGCTACTGCAATACAAAGTTGTTTGAGACGTCTCTTCAGCTTGAAATTAAAATTAATGTGGATATCATACGATGATCTCAAGATCAATTGCAACACCCAAACTATTTCTGATTTTTTATTTTATTTTTAAAACAAAATCGTTAAACTAAAGCAAGTTCTAAGCTATACTAAGGCTACAACTGGATAACCACAAATTAACAGTCCAATTAGGTACAAATTACACAATCCGAGTTTCATGTGAATATATATCCAATTAGACTACACTACAAAGTTACACATCATTAATATCTACTTAACTACAGATGTATAGTCGTCCAAACATGCATCATCCAGTAAACAAATGTCTAAGTACTTTCATTTCATGTTCATCTCAAAGCTACATCAATTTGAGTTCAAGTGTGCACCTGGAAATGAAAGAAGGAAGCAGAAAAATGAGGTATCAGTAGTAACAAACAGCAGCAGTAGTATTCAACACCAGAAAATGAACCAGCAGACTAATTTTGAAACCAAGGGATGTGATACGATAGTCATACCCTAATTTCAATCTTAGTGAATCACCAGACCCCAAACCCGACTCGACTTAAACCCTTTTTATTATCAGCTAACCAGAAATTGCTTCCATACTAAAGGAAAACTTCAGAAAATACCAAATGACTCAATGAAACAGTGTATTTTTCTGAAATTCTGCAATCATTTTTGATTTTTTTTCTTGCTGTATCTATTTCTGTGTATCTCTCTTCCTATATCTCTCTAAAACTGATTCAAAAAGGAAGACTCTCTCAAAGACTCAAAAAAAAGGACCCCTTAACTCTGTCCAAAATCCCCCTATTTATATGCAAACTACAGCCCCTTTTACAGCTCTTAGGAGCACTCAAACCCATTAATTAAGCATATTTTGCCCATGATATTCTCTAGAACCCCACCCCTATATGTTTTGCTCTATTTTTTATTCACTTGTTCCCCACTAACCCTTGTCTTTCTTTATTTAATTCAATGGTTATTGGTAGTACATACTTTAATTACATTTCCATTAGGCCTCCCCATGCTATTATGTTTTGTTCCCCACTACTACTAAACAAATGCATTAGTTTAATGTTACATTAGTACTTACTGGACAGAACACTTAAACTAACTATTTTTAAACTTTTAAGTCCCAAATTATTCCCTGAAACCCCTGTGATTACTACCCATCATCTATAACCAATCCACCTAACAATTACTAATTAACCACATGAAACTAACTCATAATCAACACTATCACACCAAATCTGAATTTAAACCAATGATAGATTCATATCAGACCCTGAACATGACAACCTTAGGATTCAATTCATCAAACTCAGACCACAGTTTAAGCTCGAAACTCAAATTAAATGAATAGCATTAAAACAAAGATGTAGGAGCAGAAAGCATACTAACGATGAGCCCTGAAGCTAAGTGTCTAAGGATCAGTACATATAACACTCGACATCAAACCATTTGACGAAAACTACTGGTCTACAAACAAGAACGAATTAATCGACGAAACTATTTATAACATATGTTATTAATTGACAGAAGAAAACTGGACTAAGTAAATGGTCTGATGGAGAAGGGAGAAAATAACGGACAAAGACGAATTACAACGAACCTAATTTAGGCAAACGAATAATTGATTGAACTACTCAAACGAACATTGGAGTATTTAATCTGACCAGAATCAGAAAAAGAGGCGGAATATTTACTGGATTAAGAATTTACTTAAACTAAAAACCTAAAGAAGCGACTAATTACAACTTAACACAGACAAATAAACATATAGAAAAAGGAAAAGAAGAAGCTAAGAAGAACTTACTGTTCTTTTCTCGGATCCCACCAACATGCCCTTTCGAACTTGAGTTCCAGTTAGCATTACACGTCTATTTCGTCAGAAATCGGCTTATAATACTAACTAGAACCCATTCAACCCTGACAGTTTTGAAACAGTCTCGAACCGTTGAACCCTAGATCCGCCATTCGATGAGTTTTACTCGGATTCGAGCCAATTTGGTTAGGGATTAGCGACGAGGAGGTCAAGGGGATTATTGGGTGTGATTTTGGGGTTAAGCGGACAGGCTAGGGTTTGGGACGGGGATCTTCGATCGAAGATTCGAGAGGTTATAGGATGATTCGAGGTTAATGGAGTGTGGAATTGGAATGAGGAGGTAGAAGGGATGCTAGGGTGTAACTTTGAGACGATTTGGGACACCGAAACCGTCGTGAGGCGATTTCCGGTGGGCGGAGGGTGGCGGTGCAAGGTGGTGAGAGACAGGGCTGTCTCTAAGTTGCTAGAGACGAGAGTGGGGTGGGGTCTCTAAGGGAGGTGGGGTTCGTTTGGATCATTTATATACTGGGCAAGAGGTTGAATCCTAGCTGTTGGATCAATTAAGATCAATGGCTCAGATCAACTCACTTAACGAAATGGTGTCGTTTAGACCCTTTTGAGACCGGATCAATCTCTGGTAAACGAGT